CCTATTTGGTAGAAAATGACTGTACTTATAGTACTAACACTATTTACCATTTTGCTTTGAAATTGCCTTTTCAATGTCATTTGTGTCATCTGTTACTGGCAATTTAGATTTAAAGCATCATTGTTTAAAAAATATTCAAATAAAAATTGAAGTACATCTTTGTTCTTGCCACTGAATCAAATACTATGTTGCATATGTAAAAGAAACAAAATAGATCCTGGTAACCTTTGGATACAATACTGGTGTTTAAGTAAATGTGAAATAGCATAGTGATAAAGTGTATGTGAACTTTTTTCAACAGAAATACAGATTTTGATGGAATTCTCTATTAACATAGCTATTCTAAATGAACTATGGGCTATTTAAAAACTCTGCTGTGAGTTAAATATTATTTTACTTTTAAAAATTCAAAATAAAGATTAGATCAGAGTTCTGTGTGAACTACTTGCTCAGGTATCAGATTGATTGTATTTTACTACCTATTTCCTAAATTTGCAATTAGTTTCTTTTCTATTTGGGTCATTCACAAATGTGGAAGATTGGGGGAACTTGTGTTAGAATTCTCTAAATTTGGGTCTGAAAAAAACAAAAACAAAAACCAGTGACTAGTGAATGAAAAAATGTTAGGTAGTAGATACATATTTTTTTCTTTCTGGGAAACAAATCGTATTCCTGTTTTGGACCAGTTAACATTAAATGTTTAAATTAATTTAGTACATCTAACAGCCTTAGTATTTTTATAGAAAACTTTATGAGGACTTTTATTCTTATTTCAGAGGACAAAATCTAGTTGTATAGAACACATTATATATATTTTTTTAAATTTCAAGTTGGGCTTAGATTCCAAGTAATATATGTTTGTTTGTTTCAGTTGTTTATGCTAAAAAATATAAACTGATTTAATATCAAGTTAATTAAAATACAATTAAAGAGGTAGATCAGGTACAACACCTTTACAACAAGGAATTTTAGTTCCAATAAAGAAATGAGACTTTTATTAGCTGTGCTATACTTTGTCTTCTCAGTATGGATCATTAAGATTTTGATTGCATAGTTTTTAGTCATTTATTGAACAATTTTTTGCTCTAGTGATCCACCTAATTTGGGTTTCTTTTTGTTGTTTTTAAAGGTGTATTTATCTTTCAATAAAGTTGGTCTTTAAAGGTAGAGATCAGTTCTTGGAATCAAAATTATTTTTCATATATTATTGAATGAATAAAAAATGTATATATAAACAGCAGGTCCTTTTTCTAGAGCTTAAAGGTGAATGAGATAGTCCCCTGGACCTCATTGAGCTTGCTATTTATTATTTATTTATTTGTTTATTTATTTATTTATTTATTTATTTATTTATTTATTATTTCAGGAGTTCTTAAGTTGGGGTTTGTGGACTGTATGCATATATATGTATGTGTATATGTGTATATGCATATATACATGTATGTATATATATGTGTATATGCACATACACACACATCTATACACACACGTATATATATATTTCTGGTTTACTGTGGTATCCTTAGATTTTATCATATTTTTGAAAGGCTCTTGATATCTACAAAAGCTAAAGGAAGCAGAACACCTAACTATGATGTTTGTATCAGTGAGGGTCCTGGTAGTAATAGATAGATGGCCTTTTTTGAAGATAGTTTAATGAATGGACTATTTGCAGAGATGTGGGCTTGGTTAGGTAGTAAAAACAGGATGATCATTCTGTCAGGGACTTGGAAGAGTTGAAAACTGTTAACCACCCAGGCAAAGGGAGAAGGAAGGGGATGGGAATTATATTCTAGAACTCGAGTTGTTGGCATGGAAGAAGAGCCACAACATAGGAGCAGTGTCCAAAGAGGAAACAAAGCTGGGGATAATTTGTACTATTATTTCTACCTCCTTCCACTTTTTGCTTTTCTGCTATGCTTCCTGTTGAGAAAGACAATGTCAGGTGCACAGGCTTTTGACTTTGCCTACTCAAGCTTCCAACACTTCCTTAGTAAAAGATGAGGAGCCACTCTGACTTTGCTCAGTTTATCACTTTCCTGGGACTATTAGTCCCTGTTTCAGGCTCTTGAAGTGGTCTTTGTTCGTGCACTGGTGGCGGGCAAGGCCTGTGGGGGATCTGCCCGCTGTTGGAGCACCATTCATCCTGGTCAGCAAGTGGCAATCCCACTGGGTGCACACTGACCACCAGGGGGCAGCTTCTGCCTTGAGCATCTGCCCTCTGGTGATCAGTGTACATCATAGCAACTGGTCAACCAGTGGTTTTGCTCGTTCTGCCATTCATCTGCTGGGCTTTTATATACACTCACTGGACAGATTATTATGATTTCTGAATGTTTAATAATCTGGCCACTCAGTATCTAACCTAATAATAGAGCAATATGAAAATTAGCCATCACTCCGCTACATAAGCCACTCCCACCAGCCAATCAGAGTGAGTATGCAAATTAACCCAACAAAAATGGAAGTTAATTTGCATACATGGCGGGAGAGAGAAATG